AAAGGTGTCCAACAGACTTGTGGGCTCTACTAAAATTGTGGAGTAGGGTTTCATTTGCCATCATTGCCACTTACCCATTTCTGTACCATCTTTTTTCTTTCTAATGCATAAGGCTTAATCCCAACAAGTTCCCAGGATCAGCGTCCCTTCTTAATAATGAAGCTGATATTCATATCACCTTCTTCTCCTCCAGCTACAGACCTCTCATAGACCAGAAGTGGTGAGGTTAATTGAAGTTCCTGTTTCTAACAGCAGTTGGGATGGGGAGAGAGGCCAGCAGTTGGGAGTCCCCGGATGTGAGCATAAGGAAGAGATTTTACTGAGTATTATTGCCCAACCTTAACCAAGTTCTTTCCAATCTTTCCTCACAAAGTACCCAAAACAAAATGACAAGGTATCCCTCAGTGATTTAGTACCTTCAATTAAAACGTTACCTTTTCAGTCTTACGTATTACGAGTTTAATTTAAAAGATGGGAAGACCACGGGAACATCCCACATGGTGACAAGACTAATATTGGAGGGACACTGTTTAAATAAGTGGATGTTTCTAAAGCTTCCATTGCACAAAGAAGGTGCTATGAAAGGGATGCTTGGGTGGCTTAGTCATTGAGCATCTGCCTTCAGCTCAGGTCATGAAACCGGGGTCCTGGGATCAAGCCTTGTATCAGGCTCCCTGCTCAGCTGGAAGCCTGCTTCTCCCTCTCCCACTACCCCTGCTTGTGTTCCCCTCTCTCGCTGTGTCTCTTTCTGTCAAATAAATACAATCTTAAAAAAAAAAAAAAAAAGGTGCTATGAAAAACAACTAAGTTTTGTGGTCATGCAGCCCTAATTGTCTTTCCTCCCAAGATTCTTTTGATTTGGCTGAAGTAAGGATGGCAGGAATCTATATATACATTTATGTAGTATAGAACAAACAATAGACTAGATACTGTAAAATGTAATTCTGCTTCATTAAAATCAATAAACATACTTTCACTGTCTCACTGAACTTCAGGAACAAAGTCATAAGTTTTAAGAGGACTTTTTGGAGAGATGGGAAGAAAAAATCAAGGCAGTGAACCGTGAACCGTAAACCAATATCAAGGTTGTATCATGGGGAAATACTTGTGCCACCTTGTAGAATAGAAATCCAAGCCTTGAGCCTCTTGCCAAATGAAGATGTTGAATCCGAGACTCACACATGAAGCTTTAGTGAAAAGTAGACTAGAAAAGAATATCACCTAACAGCAAATGGAATAAATATAGAACCTGTCCATTTCTGATGCAGCTTTGAATTGTTAAAAAAAAAGTAACAAAAGTAATCAGATGACATATTCTGATATTAATAGTAACAAAATTTCTGCTAAAACTTCAGTCATAGGTTTGTTCTCAGTCAGGCCTGCAGCTCAAGCTTATACTCTCTTTTCAGAAAACACAAAAACAAAAACAAGAACAAACCAAAGTGAGAACTTGAAATAATCCTAAATTGGCAGCACCTCCTGGTTTCTGGCAAAATTAAATGCAAATTTTGCCTGGAGAAGGAAAGCTTCCCAATTTTTGATCATCAATGTTCCTACAAATTAATTTCAACAAATTCAGTTTTCACACATGAGAACAAGGGACCATAGGCAAGGAGTAGAAAACCAAAAATTACAGATTTAGACCCCTACAAATTTCAGATATCAGGATTGTCAGAGGCAAAATGTTCAATAGCTATTAACATAATATTTAAAGAATAAAATATAGAAACATAAAAATGAGAACAACAGACTAAATAAACAGATATGTTTGAAAAAGAGCAAATAAAAACTTCCAGAAATAAAATGATAATCAATGAAAAATGTCTCATTGACTGGATTAAATGAGATATTAGGGAGAGCTAAAGAGAGAATTAGTGAATTTGAAGATGGGAAAAAACAATACATTCCCCAGAAAGCAAGACAGACAAAAATAATAATAATAATAATAATAATAATAATACTTATTATAAAAGTACAGTAAGAAACATGGAGACAAAATTAGAAAACATAAAATTTACCTAGTGTGGGTCTAAAATAATTGAATAGAGAGAATAAGAAAGAAGCCTGATTTGACATGCTGAGTATTTTTGAGAATTAATACACAGATACATGTGAATAGTACATTTGATATAGATACATAGATTCATAAGATCTAATAAATAGATACAGACAGGAAACACAAATATCAAATAAGATACTTTAAAAGAAATATACTATCAGTCAAAGACTACAAAACTGCAAAACACCTAAATAAAAAAGAGGACCTTAAATGTAGCTTGTGGGTGATTGGGGTGGGGGTGGTCAGAGCACTTTCAAAGGCAGGACAGACTGACAGCCAACTTTTCGGCAGTAATAGCAAAAGACAGAAGACTAGAGTGATGTGCTGGTGAGGGTTTAAAACTGGTCCCTCAACATCAGGGAATGCAGAATTGGGCACAGATGAGTATAATGGGTTTTTATGTGTGAGTGTGAGCTAGCTCCTTCATGTACCTGAATAATTTTCTCAGTATCAGAGGGAAAATTTTCTTTTATTATTGAATTGTACATATAGCAAAATTAACTTCAAAATAACTTTATTAATTAATAAAGGTGAAATAAAGTCCTTTATCAGATGAAGGGACACTTAACAAAACAGAAACTCATAAGGATTTCCTTCAGAAAGAAGGAATCGAAACGCTATAGAAAGTAGAAAGTTATGAAGCATATGAAGGAATAAGAACCAGTAAATTAGTGACTGCATTGGTAAATCAAATAATAGTGTCAGGGTACCTGGGTGTCTCAGTCCTTAAATGTCCAACCCTTTATTTCTGCCTGGGTCATGATATTGGAGTTGTGAGATTGACCCCTGTGTTGGTGTCTGAGCTCAGCCTGGAGTCTGCTTGGGATTCTCTCTTTCCCTCTCTCCTCTGCCCTCCCTAGCCCCACTCGTACATACATACATACATACATACATACATACATAAATAAATAAATGCAACCATAACAATAATGGTGTCTACATAGAACATAAACATAAAACAATTGTTATTAATAGGGGGGGTGGAAATCAGAAAATAAACACACTAAATTTGATCTAGACGTTGGTCAGTGGTGACTGGCTCATTCAACTGCTGTTTTGGAAGCTAAAATTGACTTTTCCGGACTTGACTGCAACTGGGTTTCTGGACATGCATAATGTTCTAGAAATGAAATAAGTTATGGATCTGGAAGGGTACAGTGAGACAGGAGTCATTTTTATGCCTTTTCAGTTGTTTCTACCGGCAAGGAAAATCATGGTAACATGAAGTGTCTCCTGCCATCACTTTTCAGAGAACTTTTCCTGCCTCCTGGGGAGCAGTACTATAGGACTGAGGCCTCAGTGGCTTCTGGACTCTAGATTCTCATCAGTGATGGTCTCATAGCTAATAGCCCCCATAAATCCCTTCAGAACGGCTGAAGAATCATTCCAAAAGATGGCAACAAGAATCTACCAATACTGGAAGGGGTTCCACAATTTTGCAAGCAACTTATTTCCAGTGTTAAATGAATTCTTGCTCAAAATTCCTAAAAAGTTGAATGAATAGAAAATAATAAAGCAGAGATAAATCCAATCATACAAGCAACCACAAAATGTAGAGAGGCTTACATTTGTCAATTTATAACCCAAAGATGGTCAGATTGGAAGAAGTATAAAATTCAGCTATATATTCTTCACAAGATTAAAGCTTGTGAAAGAAAGCTTAAAGAAAATGAAAGATCAAGAATAAACTAATCATAGGATACTTGGGTGGCTCAGTCAGTAAGCACTGGATTCTTGATTTCAGCTCAGGTCATGATCTCAGGGTCCTGAGATCTCGGGGTCCATAGAGCTCTGTGTTCAGTGGGGAATCTGCTTGAGTTTCTCTCCCTCTGCCCATAACCCCACTTGTGCTCTTCTCTCTCTCTCTCTCTCTCTCTCTCAAATAAATAAACGTGTTTTTTTTTTTAAGTACAGTTATTGTGATGAGCACCGAGCTATGTATAGAATTGCTTAATCGTTACATTGCATATTTGAAAGGGGTATAACACTGTATCTTCATTACACTTGAATTTTTAAAAAATGAGAAAAAAGGGAAGAAAAAGAAAAATTGAAAAAAAATATATGGGAAAAAGATAGACCACACAAATACTAACTAAAACACAAGTGAATCAGATTTATTAATAATAGACAAAACAGATTTAATCCCAAGAAGAAATTAAGTTAAAAAGACTACTTTAGTGTGAAAAAAATGTTCAATTTATCAAGATAAAAATATTTCAATCTTGCATGCATCTAATAGACTCTTATTGTATATAAGATGAAAATTTATAGAACTTCCAGTAGAAAAAAACAAAATCCACTACTATAAGAGATTTCAAATCTCTTTCAATTGGTGATGAATTAATGAAGAGACTAATCATTTGAACAATCCAATAATCAGATAGCCAAATTCCTTAATTTATTTAAGTAAAAATTAAGAAAATTTAAGTTAAAAAATAAATATCTGAAGTTAATTAATTAATTATAAAGTAAGAAAACATTAATTATTTTACTCAACTTCTATGTTAATGTGCCTTACTCAGCCTTCTATAAAGTAAATGTAAACGCCAGCTCCCAACCCTGCCACATATGTCTCAGCACATCCTATGCCAGAACCCTTAATTTAATTTTATTATTTTTAAGATTTTATTTATTTACTTGACAGACAGAGATCACAGGTAGGCAGAGAGGCAGGCAGAGAGAGGAGGAAGCAGGCTCCCTGCTGAGCAGAGAACCCGATGTGGTACTCGATCCCAGGACCCTGAGATCATGACCTGAGCCGAAGGCAGAGGCTTAACCCACTGAACCACTCAGGTGCCCCAGAACCCTTAATTTTAAATCTTGCATGTTAAAGGAGCAAGAGCCTCCAGATTTGAATCACTAAACAACCCAAGGGAAATTATTTATTTCTTCATTGATTTCAACAAAGCCCACTGGAGAGGAATGGACAAGAACAACAAACCTCTGACTTTGCCCAAGATGAGTGACCCTATGGCCCTGAATTCGACTTCTGGGGAGAAGTTGTAACTTAGTCGCAGTTGTCGATCCACCTGCAGGAAAACAGAAAACAAAGGTGCATCAGCAGATGTCTGTAAGTAAAGGGAATAAAACCCTCCCATCTGGAAAGAGCTTGGAAACACACACAGAGCAGACCTCTCTTTGGGACTTTCTCTCAGGAGAGATAAGATATGTCTCACTAATTCTCCCACAATGCATGAAAAATACTCCTTTCTTCGCTCTTGGTTAAATAAAGGCTTTCATACAAGTCGTCTCCCTGGGAAATTCTGTACAGCTTTTGACAGGTATTTATCTCCCCACTGAGATTTTCTCACCAAGTTCTTTGCTGCAAACAAGCAAACAAATGAAGCCTTCTTGGAACCATGCTGTGCAGGATTGACACTGAATGGAAAGCACAGGTTCATTCCCCATTCCCCTCTATCCCCATTTGGCCTTTGCTGCCTCCTTTGCTACAATAATTCTGACCTGGTCCCATTCAGGTATGGATATGGGAATTTTGCTGAGCAAGTATTTCAGTTTGACAAAAGGTTGGACCATGGGGAGAAGAAGCTAGCTGAACAGTTGCCACCAACATGAACGTCTGATAAGCCCCCCTCACAGGGGTAAGCAAAAAGCACCACTGGGATTCTTTAGGACTTTATTTACAAGATAATCCTTTAGGGCACCCTCCTCTTATGGCTTAAGCTACCCCCACTCTAAACCTTTCTTCCCCTCCTCCTCATTCCAAGGCTGTGTTACCCATCCATTCCCAGTCTTTTTGGTCTAGTCAAATCTGCAATTCTAGGCTCTACACTGAACATTCACATGATGTTTTCCTTAGAAAGGATCCTCATTATCTTACAGTTTGACTTGGGGGGGGAGGAATTAAGAACCCTTAAAACGATGTGTCCAGCCCTGCTCTCCACTCTGAGCAACTAACCCAGGATGAAGACTCAATTTCCCATATCTCACAGTCCCTCCAAACCCACTTCTGCTCAGATTAAGCATCTCCTGGGATCCTCTGGGTTCTGCAGTGGTGTCTGCTGTGAGAGAAGTCAGCTGCTATGACTTGTGGTGCATCATTAAATACTTATTACTATTTCATTTATGAAATTAGACTGGAATAACATTTGCTATTTATTGAACACTTGATATGTATGTATGAGACATCATATTGAAGTATCTTTCAAAATATATGCTTCCTTATAATATTGTCAAATAAAATAATAATAATAATAATAATACTGTTAAATAAGCATTATCACCCTGTATAACGGGCTGAGGAACTGACATCCTAGAGATCAATAACTTGGCCAGGGCCAGACAGTGTCATAAAGCAGTGTTCCATTGCCATGTGGTCCACCCATCACTCCTTATGGTGTTTGCTTTACTTGTCCACACCTCTCTAGATATCTGAGCAGCTTGTAGACAGTCACTGTATGTTTTTATTTCTGTCTTTCAACAAAACTCATCAACAAACATCTGAGAATCTACTGTGTGTCAAACACTGTTCTAAGTACTCCATGAGTCCACCTCGTCCAGGAATCTTCTCTTGATGTCTTGATTAGACCAGCTGACACTCTTCTCTATGCTCAAGGTGACTTTTTTTCTGCCCCTAACTTGGAATTTAAAGTGTTGCATTATAAGGATCTGCTTCTCTCTTTCCCTCTCCCTCTCTCCCTCCCACCCTCACTAAATTATTGCCTTTTTGAGAAGTCAGACATCTTAGTGATATATGTTTTCTTTAGGACCTTCTACAGAAACTGGCAAAGTAACTCCTAACATGGGTTTGTTGAATGAATGAATAAACATCCTGTACTGATTCGCTTTCTAACTTGGGGGTATGGGGACATAGTTAGTCACACCACCAGGATGCTTCTCACTGCCTGGTAGCGCCTGCACCATTAGCATAGGGTTTTTGGTGCCCATTGTGCCCATCAATAGTTTGTTTAATGCTCGTGGATTCAGATTCAGTCCTTGATTCTGAAGGAGTTTTCTTTCCACCCTACTTCAGAGCTCGGTCCTGTGTCTTCTACTCTCTATAACTGAGTAGGGGCAGGGGCCTTCCAATAGGAGCAGGGACCTCCCCTCATGCACCCTTGCCAAGGTTGGAGAGGAGGCAGAATGGGTGGGAATTTCCTGCGGAGCTGAAAACAGTATGAGCTGAGATTCCCCTCGCCCCTCACCTGCTGCCCAGAGTCCACAGGATCAGCTTCCTGTGCAAGTTGTCCTGAACCTTGACACGTCCATGCTCAAATGTCACACATGGGAGAGCTCATTGTTCAAGTGGATGAGTCATCCCTATTCTGCTATTCTGTTTTGTGGGAACTTGCCTAGTCTTTTGTACTTAAACCAGATGACTAATGAAGGAGAGAAGGTGGTAAACGACAATCAGTTAAGGGAGTTTTTAGGAAAAAAAAAAAAGATGAGTATTTTTAAAGGTTTGGAGAGGAAGGAAAGATGACTCAAAGGATACTTGAAGCTACTGCTGGACTATGGATAGTTGGGGGATGGGTTTCATCCCTGACATGGAATATGGGCACCTAAGCATTACAACTGGTTCAGGTGCAGGGTTACCAAACTTAGCAAATTCATAGGACAAAAACACATAAACAAAAAAGAGGGGTATACCAGATACATTTATTTTTAGGCTTCAACATTTTATAATATGGGCTATTGCAATCATTGCGGAATTCTGTGGGAAATACATTATTTTTTCAGATTTCCTTTTATTTGTTTTTATGGTTTCATATTGGTTTTGTTTTTAATTATAATTGGTGGGGTGGTAAGAGGTGACATCCTGTCTGTAGTTCTTTATAACTATTAGATGTTTAAAGTTTGAAATCTGGTCTAGAAAAGCTTTTTTGACCTCAGAATCTAGGATGACCAGTGGTCTTGTCAAGTTGTTAAATGGGATGGAAAAAGAAGATACTGGAACAAACATTTTTGAGTAAGTCCTACATGCCAGGCATTATGCTTGGTCTTTTAGTTATGTTCTTTCATATAATCTTTATAAAAACTGACTGAGCTCAGTTTGCATTCTCATCCCCCCTCTTTTTTAATAAAGCAGTAGACCAGAGTTCAGAAAGGTGAGTAATGGTCTAAGATCACATAATGTAAGTAGTGGAACAGAAATTCACACTCAGGTCCTATAGGAATGCCTTTCTTAACCTCAGGATTTTCATCTCTGGAAAAAAGGAAATAATCACTTTGTTTGAAAAGTGCCTCGAACCTCCTTTACAGTTTTTTGTTGAGCTGGCATTTGGGTAAACTGGCTTAATCTGTTTAATGCCATGCATGCATTTTAAATAAGAACACTGAAGTTCACTTCCATCACTGGGGCATTTTGGGTGACCTGTACCTTAAAAAACACTAGCCAAATTACAATTCTCAAATCATCTCTGGGAGTACTTGCTCCTGGTTGTGGCCCAGTCCTCATGTCCTCCTTCTTAGCATTACAAGATAGGAGGAGGAATAGCAACTCAAGGACTGGGGGTTGTGAGGGAATCTGTTTTTAGGTACAGGAAGCCTCTGGCTGATTGAATATGGTGATTCCCACCTGCCCTCTCTCTCTCTAACCATTTCTGAGTAAGGCCTATACCCTGCCTCACAGGGCCTAAGGGCAGGACTAGAGATGTAGTAGGAGCCTACCCTTTTCTGTTTTCTGAACAGTTTTTTCTAAGCAGGAAAGGAGAAGAGAACTAGGCATGATAAGAGGGGTGGTAGTAGTATCAGGGAGGCAGGTGTGTTGTGTTATTGTGTCAATAAACTGATTTAAAATTATTTTTAAAAAAGTCTCCATTCCAATTTTTTCTGCACTCTTTGTTTCTGCACTCTCATGTGCTTATCATTCACTATTAAACTGATTGGTGGAAATCCTTTTTACGGAAAAAAGAAGGAAATACCTCCTATTGTTCATTTTCTCACTGATCTGTTTCTTTCATTTGTGCAAAAGAATACAGGAAACAAAAAGAAGGAAAATTTGAATCATATGTACACATTCCCACCAGAATGGATCCTGCATGTCCCATCAGTACCTCAGTCAAAACATTCAAATGAGAAGTCATCTTTCCCATCCCTTTTATCCTCCAATCTTACACCAACCCAAGCTTTCTCCAAAGATGTGTTCCCTTTATTTCAAGAGTAAATTCCAGAGGGAAGCTCATTATACTATAATCACTCAGGGATTTTTTTTTTTTTTACCACATAATGGACAATTATTCTTCAACCCCCACTCAGTCAAGAAAACTAATAGTCAATCTTTACTTCTGCCATAGCCCACATCCAAAAGGTTGCCCAATGCCAATGATGTTATGTCTATAACATTTCACATCTCCATCTCCATGGTTTCCCCACTGCACTAATTGAAGTCTTCATGATCTCTTTCTGACTGGCCTCTGTCATGTCTCATCACTCCCAAATGTGTACTTCCATGCAGTGATCACAGTGAGCCCCTAAAAATGAAATTCTAACCACACTGCTTACCCAATGGTTTCCCTTCATTTTGCCACAGGGCCAATTTTATCTCCTCCACATAATACATTAAGCCCTGTGGAATTCATTCATTCTGTTTATGAATACTAATTGAGTCCCTGCTGTATGTTAGGCACTGCTTGATAAAGTGGGGGTTCTATGAAACAGTGAAAAAAAAATCCCTGTCTTCTAGAAGAGAGAGAAGATAAAGAATTAGATAAATAAATAAATAAATAAATAAATAAATTTTATTGATTGTTAGATTGTGTTTAAGTATGGTAGGGAGAAAGTCAAAGGGCTAGGTCGCTGTATTAAGGTGATCAAAAATGGCCTCATTGAGAATAGCTTTTTGAGTGAAGTCCTGAAAGAAGTGCAACTACAACAAGGAATGTAACAGCAAGGGGGCCAGAGTGGCATGAGTAGAGTCAAAGAAAATACTGATAGATGAGAAGCAACATGGGAATGAAGCTGTGGATGCTTGGCCATGGAGATCCCCTTAAGCCTCTGCTAGGTCTTTGGCTTTTACTATATATGAGAAAGAAAACCATTGAAATGTTTGGATGGAAGAGCACTACCATCTGATTAATGTTTAATAGGATCTCTCTGGCTCCTGTCTTGAGAGCGCACTGTAGGGGAACAAAAAACAAAAAGTTAAGGAGGTATCTGTCAATTAAGATGAAAATGTAAACTGTAATAATCCGAGGAAGAAATGAGGGTGGCTGGGACGGGGTAGAAACTGGTGATCAACAGGATGTTGCAGGTGAAGAAGAGAGATATCAGAGATGACACTATAATGTTTAGACTGAGAAGTTGCAAGAATAGTGCTGTCATTAACTGAGGTGTGGAAGATTATGGGTATAGGGAATGTTTAGGGAAAGATTTTCAGTAATTCATTGTGAAATTTGTAACATTCAAGATGCCCAATTCAAGATGCCCTTATTTCAAAGAAATAAGCCAAGTAGGCAATGATAGATAGGTCTGGAATTCAGAGAAAGGATTGGAGTTAGATGTAGCTTTGGGATTAATTAATCAGCATTCCATGACACTTAAAGATGTGAGTCTGAGTGATATTAGACACAGAATGAGTACAGACACAAAGGAAATGAAGATGAGTCCTGGGATGCTCCACTTCAGATGACCATGGGAGGGCAACGAAAGAGAAGAGAAGGAGCAACTAGCAGATACAGAAGAAACAGCAGGTCAAAGTGATGTCCTACAAGCTAAATAAGAATTTATCTCAAGAGCTAAGGCATTACTGTGTCAAAAGCCAATGGGAGGACAAGTAAGGAAAAGATTGTTAGATTATGTAAGACCACTGGTGTCTTGAGAAGTATAATTTTAGTCCACCACAGAGACAAATCCTTTATTGGCTTAAGAAAAAGGAAGTGCAGCTTGGAAGAGCAAATATTTAAACATTTCCAAGGATGTGGGCAAAAAACTGAAAGAAAAAATGGGACACTGTATGAAGTCAGACAAGAGAGATGTTCTCCTCCCTGATGTAGAGAGTGTTTTTTGTCATGTTGTATTGTGTTGTGTTGTGTTGTATTGTAGTTACGTTTGTAATGCATGCAAACCTTGCATGTTTATGCTTTGGGAAGTCATCCAACAGAACTGGGAAATGTTGACAAAGGAGGGGAAGATGCTATAGTGATGATCTTCAGTGGGGTAAGAGACCTGTTCCACAAGTCATGGAATCAGTCTTAGATAGAAGCCCCATCTGCTCATATTCACCAACATGAGGGAGACAGAGTTCCTGAACACCAATGCATGTGGGTGGGTGTATGTGGTGGTGAGAGTGTGCTGGCATTCTCTTCTGAATGCTACATTTATCACAAGAAAGAAGAAAACAAAGTTATCTTGTACAAGTAAAGATAGGGTTGTAATTGTTGTGGTGTAAGGAGAAAGAAGGAGGTTTAAAATTATCATCTAGGTGATCCAGAAAGTGAAAGATTAAAAAAAAATAATAAGAAGAGGCACTTGCTAGACAGATGGAAGGGCTCACTTGAGGTCATGATTTGAATAGGATGATCTGGACTCTGCCACTTCTCTCTTGTCATGTGCCCTCACCTGACCCCTGCCTTTTATACCAAGACCAATGGCATTCCAGTGTGCCTGCCACACACTATAACCTGCTGGACCTCTTTGCTGATTCTCATGTAGACCCACCGTCTGAGCATTTCTTTCCCTCTTCTCCAGTTTGCCAATTCCTACTCACTTTCATTACTTAGTTTATTCCTAACTTTATCCAAGAAAAAAATACTGATGCCCTGAAGAAATCAGTGACGTCATCTATGTTCCCGTATCTGTGCAATTTCAACCCTAGCCCTTGCAAGTTTCTTGTGATTTCCTCTTCAGCTGTGTGTCTTCCTCTTATACTCCAGTTCGGGGTTACCAAACTTGATTGGGCTTCAGAATCACCTGCTACCCCTCTTGCAAAGAAGTTTTGATTAAGTAGATCTGATGTCAGGCCCAAGAATCTGCATCCCTATCAAGGTCTCAGGTGATGTCGGTACTGGTAGGAAGAGGGGAAACACACTGTAGTTCAATTTTGTTCAGTTCTTCAAAAGCTGGAGTCAAGTATCTGTCTCTAGAACTTGGCTGTACACTTGGTTTAGGGTAGAAGCTCAGAAAATTTTACTGAACAGACAAAGCATATTTGGCTGAATGAAAAGAAGAGAAGTAAGTTACCTGAATTGTAAGCTCTCTTCCCTCCCGGTTAATGTTCAGGTGGTGCATCCTTCTGTTGGCAAAGTTCTCTGCATCAATATTGAAAATGTGGATTTCTTCCTTGCTTAGCTGATAGCGAACCTGTAAGCTTCCTTGAAAAAATATTAGAAATTAGAATTAAACATAGGATTCATAAAATGCAAAAATATTATCAGATTGTCTTTTAGTTGAGCATTACTGTTTTCTAAGGGTTTACATATATCCTTTTATTATTCAAATTTTTTAAAATGCTATATTAGTACATATATATAGTGTATAGCATACCTATATTACTATTTGTATATACATATATCCTATATATTATATTACTATATATATACTATATGTACTATACAGATTTCATTATTCAAATTTTAAAAAATGCTATATTATTATAACATCTGGGTCCATATGGAAAATCCTGAGTACATGTGCAAAATTTGTGTGTTGTGTGTGTGTGTGTGTGTGTGATAAAAAACCATAATGCCAGGTTGGGATATAAAAGAACCTCAAGTCTATTGTGTAATTGGATTGTCAAAAGTTTAATAAGATAGAATCCTTTTCCATCCTCTCTTCAATTCCTACCACTTTTTATAATTCCTTTTCTTCCTAATTGCCTTCATGGAATTTCATAATACATAATGTGAAATAAGATTATAAAATCATCTAAGCCAGAATAGAAGAAGAACATTTGGCCTATTAGACCAATACACAATTGAACCAGTTGATACAAGAACCACTACAGCTAATGCTGGTTTCCCTGGTTCATTTGCTCTCTCTCCTTTTGGCTCTGTCTGTTGCATATTTCCACATATTGTTTCCTAACTATTATCGTCTGGGTTTTTATCACTTAAATATGAATACTAGCTCTGGAGCAGTAGCATATTTGGTACTGAGAGGAGCTGAGCTGCAGTAGTGGTGCAAATGTTCAGGTATAGAGCAAGGGGACCTGGCCACAGCCAGCCTATGATAAAGAAACACCCATTGTGTGCACTGGTGGGTTGTTCAGTGGCATGCTCTTCCAGACTCCTTCCAGTTCTAAGAACTGGAGTGTTTTCATGTCTATTTCAACCCAATAAATTAAATCAGAATGTGATAATTATGTGTTAGGTATGGTGATGAGGACCACATTCCTTGAGAGTATTTGGAGTCTTGCCATTCCACTGTCTGGGTGATTCATATACACATACAGATTCTGCAAACGCATTCTGTATGCATTTGTCCATTTTAAAATAACTTATATTTTACACCTCTTCTCTAACATCTGCTTCACAATGATCCATCTTACATGTTAACAATCTCATAGGGACCATGTCTATCAGAGTATTCTGAAGCATCCCCAACATCACAGTTTATGTCTAAAATACTGCAACCAGTTCTTCTAGAGCCATACAAATACTGATATCAATTTCTTAGGAGTTTTGATGCAATCATTATCTTCTCCTACAGGCTCTGTGCTCATTTCTACTTTAACAGGTACTGGACTGTGTTATTTGTATACTCACCTGTCTCTCACACAAATCTCTAAGCACCTTGAGGATCTGCACATATCTTAGATTCCCAGTGTCTGGACTATGGTAAATACTCAGCAAATTTTAAAGGAAGCAAGCAAGCAAGGAAGGAGGGAGGCAGGAAAGAAGAGGGAAGAAGGAGAGGAGGGAGGGAGGGAGGGAAGTGGGGAGGGAAGGAGGAAGGAAGGAAGGAAGGAAGGAAGGAGGGAAGGAAGGAAGGAAGGACTAATTCAGTGGGGCTTAGAAACTTTTTATATCTAAAGAAATAACTCCTCTGAAACAGTACAAATCTAGGTGATACATATTCTCAATAAATCCAGAGACCAATGAATTATTCTTAGAAACTGTTTCACCTTGGTATTTACTGACTCAAAGCTGGGAGAACTTCAGAAGAATACAAGGAGTGGTATGCCTAAGGAAGTGGATAATTCCTGAAGGTTCCCTCTACAATTTGGTTGTGTCTGCACTAGCTTATCCTCCCGCATTTGAGGCTGTGATGTTTCAGGGAATTAATTCAGATTTGGATTCCAACCAATTGGCTTGAATATTTTGTCTCTTGTTAGTATTTAGGCTTCTATCTCTTTCCCATGCATCTGGATTTGCCTTATATATCTAATCCAGTGGTTTTCAAATTGGTTGCAAAATAGAGCACTTTTGAGGGTCTGGCTGGTTTAGTCAATAGAATGAACAACTCTTGACCTCAGTGTTGTGCATTTGAGCCCCGTGTTGGGTGTAGAGATTACTTAAAAAAATAAAATATTTAACAAAACAGAATACTTTATTCAAATGAAATCTAAAGTGAAAGTTATAGAAAACAGAAAAACCCTGGAGCTTCTTGAGTTGACACAAGAATGGGAGGCTATCTCTAGGCTGCTGCTGCCAATGTCCTCTCCCCCTGCACCCACCTTCACCCCAAAACCTCATGTTGGCCCAAAGAACTCTTTGGTCTCCCAGAAGCATAGTAGAAAACCTTGACTCTTCAAAGTTACAACTCAGCCTATTAGCATTTGGTTACATCTGTCCTGGACAGCTTTGTATCACTTATGTGCACCCCATAAGACATCCCATAGAGCAGTCTCTCCCTGCAGTCTGACCATTGGGACCGCACATTCCAAATACTCATAGGCCTATAGGTTTGATGAGCTTACAGTTGGATTTGTCTAGGCTTTAAATTGATCAGTGACAGATTATCTCTACATATCTATGTGGACGTTTCTAGCTGAGGAGAGAGACATTCTGGTTAAGGAGAAGCCACGCTCTCCTTGGGAGATGTTGGACCTCTTTTCTTTCTTTTTTCTTTTCTTTTTTTTTTTTTCCCCTTAAACAACATACACTTATTTTATCTGGACAACAGTTCTGGATTCTAGAAGTACAAAATGTTTTCTTAAAGGCTCTAGGATAGGATACTTTTATGCCTCTTCTTCGCTTCTGGTGGATGGTGGCAATCCCTGGCGTTCCTTGGCTCCGATGTTCTTCATCTTCACATGATCTTCTCCCTGGTCTCTCTGTTGGCCCTATTTCAAAACTCTTCGAATATTCAACAAAGGATACCACATACCATTTAGCAGGTCATTTTATTATTCATATCCTGCTTATAATTCTCTATTCATAAGAATGGGAAAATATGAAGTAGAAACTCAAAATTGAAAAGTCCAAATAATATCTAGTTGAATTCCTTGAGTTTGGCTTTAAGGTAAAGATTCTTTCATCTCAGTCATTTAAAAACATGATTTTGTTTTCTTTTTTCTTACCAGTTCCCACTTTTCCAGTGTTCTTACTCTACTGTCTTCCACACTGCCATTAGTGTGAGTATTATAACACATATTCAGTCTTGCAACTCTAGCACTTAAAAAAATCCTAAGCCTCCTTAATTCAACATGATATATTCCAGCTTCTTAGCCTGATGTACAAAGGCTTTTTTTTAAACTTTTCTAATTTTATCACATACATATTTTTCATATCTGAATCATACCTGAATACTCAGCATCTTTCCAAATAATGCACTTCTTTACCTCTGTGTGTTTTTCTTTTCCTCTGCCTCCTCATCTGCCTGGCAGGTTCCACTTCATTCTTTTACATCCAGCTCATGCGACCCAAGTCTTCACTAACCCCTAAGGCTGGCATAATCTACTATATTGCCACTGTGCTCATTTTTAGTAACAAACTCAATTTATCACGTTTATATTGTCTTTCCTCTTGAATTTAAGGTCCCCTAGGAGGGGTAGTTGCCTATTCATCTTTGTATCTATAAAGTATAACACAGGGTTGGCTATCATAATCCTCCAGAAGATTTTTTTTTTAAAGATTTTATTTATTATTTATTTGACAGACAGAGATCACAAGTAGGCAGAGAGGCAGGCAGAGAGAGAAGGATGAAGCAGACTCCGAGGAGCAGAGAGACCGATGTGGGGCTCAATCCCAGGACCCTGGGATCATGACCTGAGCCGAAGGCAGAGGCTTTAACCCACTGAGCCACCCAGGTGCCCCCAGAAGATATTTTTTTAATAAAAATCCATTCTGGAGAATTTTATTAACACTCCACCAAAATTATGAACTAAAAATTATTCAATGCCTAATGTGTGCCAGATACTACATAAATGGTTACAATATTTTAGTTCTATTTTTAAGAAGTTTATAATCTAGTTGAAAGCAAAAGCAAGGTCATACACGCCTACTGTATTTTAGACATTTAATTCTGTACTAAAGATACTTCTTTTTTTTTAATTTTGTTTATTTATTTCAGAGAGTGAGAGAGAGGGAGAGAAAGCAAGTGGGAAGCAGAGGGAGAAGCAGACTTTCCACTGAGCAGAGAACCCAATGTGGGGCAGGATCCCAGGACCCCAGGATCATGAGCTGAGCTGAAGGCAGATGCTTAACTGACTGAACTACCCAGGTGCCCCTAAAGATATTGATTTTCTTTTTTTTTTTTTTTTTCTTTAAGTAGGCTCCATGCCCAGTGTGGAGCCCAAAGAAGGGCTCGAACTCACAACCCTGAGATCAAGACTTGAGCTGAGATCAAGAGTCAAATGCTTAACTGACTGAGGTATCCAGGTGCCCCAAGATATTGATATATTTTAATTAAATCTTCAGATCAGGAACTAGATTTTCAGGGATGTAAACAGCTACACAAATCAAGAATGATGATAAAAAGAAGGAGAAGAAGAAAAAGAAGAAGATTCAAACTCAGAAGTACAGAACTTCAAAGTATATGTTCCCTCCAGTATAGCATCTTGACTCCAAAGAGATGTGTGGTGGGGAAGACGGATGAGTGGATGGACAGAGATGTTGATGGTAGAGCAAAGGGAAAGGTAAATGATTTGACAGAACATACACATTTTGTGAATTCAAAATGATGATGTTGGTAACTAGTGAATCACTGAATTCTCCTGAAACCAATATTGCACTGTGAGTCAACTAACTAGAATTTAAATAATCTGAAAATGAAAACAAAAATGATGAGCAATTAAAGGGTTGAGGTAATGAAATAGTGTTTTTCAGAGAAAGAGGTCTGTGGAGGAAGGTAGAAGTTAGCTAGGAAAACAAAACAGAACAAAATATAAGGTGATAAGCTTATGCAGTTGTAGAGATTTAAGAATAATGCT